AGAGAGAGAGAGAGAGAGAGAGATTATTTGATAAATTTTTATTTATACGACTTGGTAATAAATACAAATTTGCTAAATAGACATAAATTTGTAGTCGAATTATCAGTCAAACAGCATCGTATAATTTGAATCATTATATCCTCAATGACTCAATTATTATTAATATTACTAGCGTCAAACTGTGTTGTATAATTTAAATCGTTATAGTCTTCAATGACCCGATAAAACTTGGCGTCCACGTCATCCGTTTCGATTGCGCGAAACCTCGACACGAATTTCCTGAAACACCCGGTACACGTTGCATCAGAACGCGGCATAACGCGATGATGCATACGCGAGGAAAGAGTCGATGGACGAGTTTATATTTACACCGGCGTGAAAAAAAAAAAAAAAAAAAAAAAAAAAAAAAAAAATATCCGTGGCTCGGTCTGTCTATGTAATTTGCATTTCCCTGGCACGAGCTCTCGCGAGCTCGCACGTGAATCACACTCGAAATCGATACGATTTTCTACCTGCTGTCTATCCATCCAATCTGTCTGTGTGTATCACGTTTCGCGGATGAAAATTCCCTCGATTCGAGCTGAATCGGGGGAAGAATTTGCAGTTTCCACTCCGTTTCGAAGAGGATCGAATGGAGGATGTTCTTCGTTGATATTGTTACTTGCCTGTAATTCGAGATCGTGCGGTTTCACGTTCGACTGACTCGGTAATCAGGGCTAGGTTCAGGCCAGGTTTTAATTGGGGAAAGGTGTTGCGTTTCTGTTTCGGGGGTTTTCGCTTGAGGCTTGGTCAGAGAGTTCTTTGGAATGAAACTTCACGGTGTCGTAAGAACCGTGGAGGAATTTACGTTGTTCAACTTCGTTTCGGAATTTTTAATTAATAAATATATCTGAAATCTTTCTGTACAATACGAGCCTACTACGAATTTAAAAAGACACAATGTATTATATTATATCAACTGCTTATTACATATATATTATATTATCAGTCGGAAAAAATGAGTTGACACATCGCCAAGTGATCAAATTTAGTTGATATAATATTCAACGACACACGCGGAAAAGCGCGAGCCTGCGTAAATATTCGACCGGCCTGAGCTATCACTGATCGCAGTGCGTTGCATCACAATCCGTTGGTCTGGTCAGCGATGAAATTAGCAAAACAGATGTTTACTCGTGATAATGACCAAACACGCACGCACGTCGCGATCGCGTTTTCACTGGTCCGTGCGAGTGGACGTGAACGTTGGCGGAATTTTATCGAATCTCTCGCGTTATCATTGTTCAAACGAGCAACCTAGACGCTGCGTAATATTTTAATGAACTTCCTTCCTTTGTATTTACGCCCTTCGTTTCCTTTTTTTTTTTTTTTTTTTTTTTATCGTCGTTCGCCGTTATCTCGTTTACATTTTACTGCCTATTTCCGAAGGAATCCGTTCAAGTCACGTCTGCCAGAGGGTGATTGAACTTGTTTGTTTAGGTTGCGCCTGGTTTGTTGGGACAGGCTTATCTAACGCTTGTACGCGATATCAGTGGACTTTTGGAACGTCAAATCGGTGATTGTCAGTGTCACATGAGTGTCGAATCGGCCTCTGCGCAGTAAGACGATTTGCGTTTCGGAGAAACAGGGTGTTTGAAGCTGTTTGCCCAGGTGAAAATGAAAGTGGCTTGACGCGTGAAGGATGGAAAGCGGCGAGAAAATCTGTGGATATCTATGCACGTTTTTTTTTTAAAAGTGTAATTAATCCTAGTCGTTCGTCGCCAACTTGTGTACTTGTGTACTCTGACAAAGTATGCCAAGTGTTTGAACAAAGTTTGAACAATGTTCTCTCATCGGTTCTTGCCCGATCAATTTTATTTTACGTTCGTGCATTAACGTTCAAATATTAGAAATTCTTTCTTTGCTTTTTAAAACGAGAGTAAAGATCGATGTATTCGGTTGTATGCGATGATACTATTCCTGTACGACGTTTTTCAAAGAAGCTTTCTTTACGTATCGTCAATATTCGTGGAGATGTACACTTGCCACGTGCAACGATATTTTGCATGATGTTGTTCAAAGGAGCTATGAATTTCATTAGCCTTTATCATCACTATTTGTGGAAACAAATAGTCATTCGTACATAGTCGTAGTTCTCTAGTGTCATCACCATCGAACAGGAAGAAAATTCATTGAAAAATTTCTAAAAGTTCGTCGTTGCAATTCCATAATGTGTCTTCTCCGTGAGAAAGAAACTAAAAGTTCATACATCGAAGAAATCTTCGCGGATGACGAGTAATTTATATAAAAAAAAAAAAAAAAAAAAAAAAAAAAATACCATTCTAATAGTTGTAGACTCAAACAAAAATGGTCCTCTTGCACTTTGCTCTTTCTCGTCGGATCGATAAAAATTCAACTTCGATCGGGGAGAACGTTTTCGCGGAATCCTTCTCTCTCTCTTCTTCCTTTTTTTCCCTTTCTGGTGAATGGAAAATCGAACAGAGAACGACAATTTGCGCGAATAGAGCGAGATAGAAGGGAAGGGGAGGGCCGGTGAAACGAGTAAACCGCGTGCAACAGCGTGACGCGAGCGAGCGACTCGATAAATAACGAAACGCAGGCATCGGTGTCCCATTTGCGGGGAAGCGAAGCGTTCTCACGCGTGGCTCGCGTTTTTCCATTGCGCAACCGTCATAAAGGCAATTACAGCAAGGCCTCCTGGATACGCACGC